TTTATTTATTTATTTATCTATTTATTTATTGTCAGCCATGAGGCTTGACCTCAGGGCCTGGGTGCTGTTCCTGAGCTGTTTCGCTCAAGGCTAGCCCTCTACCATGTTGAGCCACAGCTCCACTCTGGTTTTCAGCTGTTTTACTAGAGATAAGAGTCTTAGGGACTTTCCTGCCCCAGCTGGCTTTCAACTGTGATCCTCAGATCTCAGCCTCCTGAGTACCTAGGATTAAAGGCCTGAGCCACCAGTGGCCAGCATAACCTCTGGATTTTTAACAAGATCCAGGGGAAGCAGGTGTGATGGTAATGCCTGTAATCCTGGCACTGGGGAGGCAGAGACAGGAGCATCTCATGTTCAAGGCCAGCCTGGGCTACAGAGTGATATCCTGCCTCAAAACAGAAACAAAAAAAGATCCAGGAGGTTAGTGTAGAGTCAAAGGCCCCACAGTTTATGGCAGAACAGAACACAGACTGCCAATAAACGGAATACTATGCACAAGCCAGAAGACCGCACCCGGGAGCAGTGGAGAAGGACCCGGGGCACTCCAGAGCCACCAATAAGGTACAGGCAGGGGAAATGGAACTTATGTGAAACACAAACTAGACAAATTGCTCAAGAGCACCCAGCAAAAGCTCTCAGCAAGGACAAACTGGGGTAGCTAGATAGGGCCAAGGCCAGGCTGATGGCATTTCATCCGTCTTTTTTAGCTTTTTGTGGCAGATCTAGCTGGTACCCGTGGTCTCACATTGCACAGAAAATCCAGCTTTTGCTTTCCACTGTGAATTTCCACCCAGGCACACTCTGGCTTTGCCTCCAACTCACTGGACCTTCAACTCGTTTCACTAGGTGTCAAGCTAACTGGATGGACCTTCTTCCTGAGAGCCCTCCTGGAAGTAGGGAACCTTCACAGGTGCAAAGCAGCTGAAGCAGGCATATGCACAGCATAGGCCCCAGGACGGACTAGGGCCTTACCAGCAGAGCCCACACCCGACCCTCCACAGGCACCGTGGGACACCGTGCAGGCCCAGCATCCTCAGCAAAGTCCACGGGGGCTGTTTGCTCACACTCGCCACCTCAGAAAGAGGAGGAGCACACAGGCGCTCTGCACCACGTGCCAGGAAGGCCATGTGCTGCTTTCCTGTGGTTTCACAGCCTCTAGGTCAACGCATTGGCTTTTACTCCACAGTTACAGCTTCCCCCACCCCCAAGCCCCAGACACCTTCCTGGGAGGGCCCACAGCCTCCCTCTGCACACGTACCTGGGTCAGGGTGGCATCAAACAGCTTGCAGGCTTCGTTGCTTGAAGTGCTGAGGGGAAGCCCAGCATCCTTCCATGCCTACACACACACACAAGAAAGGGCAGAATACATGGCCTTACTCCCGGGACCACCCAATTTAAACACATGTCATCTGCTCCATGTGGGTGGCTCATGCCTGTAATCCTAGCTATTCAGGAGGCTGAGATCTGAGGATGGAAGCCATCCTTTTCAGGAAAGTCTGTAAGACTCTTTTCTCCAATTAGCTACCAATAACCAGAAATGCAACTGTGGCTCAAGCAGGAAAGTACCAGCCTTGAAGGGGGAAAAGCTAAGGAAAAGGCCCTGACTCTGAGTCCCAAGCCCAAGTTCCAGTACTCACACACACACACACACACACACACACACACACACACTCCATTCCAAACATGTATTACAGCTCTCAAAATCTGAAATCAGATCTCAGAGCAGAGTAGAGCACATTGAGCTGACTGAGCTGAGCCCAATGGGTCAGATCTTGATCCAAATCTCCAGCAGCCTCTAAACAGCTTTGTGCCCTCCAGAGAGGTCCTCCCTCTCAGACTGCTGGTTGGCCCCTCTGGAAAAGGTTCAAGAGGACTATAGACAACCAATTCAAGTGTTGGCAGGGTAACAGCCAGTGAATAGGGGTCTCTGATTACCAGGAGGGGATATCTACCACCTCCCCCCCCTTAGTCTAACAAATGCAAGTGGTGGAGAACAGGCTTTCTGCCTGGCAGGCAAGAGGTACAAACAGGTGCCAGTCACCAACCAACCCTTTCCTTTCTCCACTTAAGGGGAAGGCTTTAGACCTCCAAGCTCACTCACTGGAAAGAGTCTATAGGGCTGCCCTTGGTGCCAGCCAGATGCCCAGTCCCCTGAGCAGAGGAAATAAATGCATTGTACTCCTGGTCAGTAGCAAAAGGGCTGCCCCTTCTAGGCTTCGGCATTAGTTGACCAATGGTGACTCGCCTCACATCTCTGGCCTTCACCTTCCCATCAGCAAATTGGGCTCACATTCCCTGGTCTTGGGGTTCCTAGGAGCCGTTTTCGGTTGCCTGGTGACCACGCTGGGCCAGCTCTGCCCAGTGAGCAAGCTTTTCAGAGGTGCTGCCATCCTGGCCTGCGCAAAGCTGTGCGGCTTCTCCTTGGTGACATCCTCAGGAGTCACTACTGGGGGGTCTAAGCCATGGTTGTTCTGCACTGAGTCAGGTCTAGTGCCAAGTGAACTAAGGGCACCTCCCACAAATGTCGGGTGGCCCGCAGTCCCTTTTCCACCCTGCCAGGTGGCTGGCTATTCTTGGAGCAGAGGGGCAGGCAGCTGGGAAGGCCTCTGCATACCTGACAGTCTCGCAGTGGTGCTGTGACAGCCATGTCTACCAGAACCAGGTCCAGGGGGTCTGGGCTCACAGGGAAGCCAGCTGGGCTTTTAGTGGACTGGGTGGGGGCGGGTCAGGGGTTGGCACAGAGTGAGGAGGTCTAATGTGATGGGCCAGGGGGCGGTTCACTACAGGGAGCTAGGTGGAAGGGGGCGGGGCTCTGGGCAGATTGTCAGCCTGGGTCTCTCTCCCTAGTACAAACCCTAAAGGTTTGTACCCAGGCATGAGACTTCCTGGAGTGATTGTGCACCAGGGCGGGTCCTCAGGATGGAGGGAGCTCCATGGAATGTCCCTGGCTGTAAGCCAGAGACCGCCCTGGCTGGAGAAGACTCTAGGGCCAGCCTGAGGATCAGGGCATCTCCCCAAGAAGGTGGTCCTGGGTCTGTGGGCCAGCAGGGCACAAGGCCAGAGGATGCGTGCCCCACTGCCCAACCAGAACTCTCACTCCTCTCCTCCAGTGCCTCTTCCCTCCAGGGACCTCAAGAAGCCTAGGAGCCTCCTAGGACCTGGGTCAACTCCAGTGAGTTCCCTGCAGCCGCTCCCACTTCTCCAGGGAGTCCGCCACACCTCCAAGAAAGGGCGCAGCAAGACTCTTCATGGTGGATGTTTGCCCATCGCAGATTGTTGTACTGTTTTTAATTTTCAGAACCAGTTTATTCAGATACGGCCCTGTGTAAGGGCTGAAACCCCGACTCTTTCAGAAGAGAACTAGGGTCAATCGTCAAGCGCTCTGGCTGTCACTACATTTCCTTGCGTTCCTGTGCCAAGACTAGGGCTTGACCTCAGGGCCGGGACGCGTCCCTGAGCTCTTCCATGCGAGGCTGGTGCTCTACCACTTGAGCACAGCTCTCCTTCAGGCTCTTGCTAATTGGCCTGGCCTTGAACGATCTCAGCCCACTAATTACCCAGGACTACAGGCGGCTGTGGTCCTTGATCCCATCCTAGGTCCTTGAGAACCCACACCCTCCCTGAGTCCCTTCCGATCCCGCCCTTGGTTCCCATGCCCCGGGACTTTGGACCCAGCCTACCTCACCTGTCTTCACACTTCCACGCCCTCGGCCGGGCCGTTCTGCTACCGAGCATGAAGTCCTCAATTCAAACCCTAATACCATTACACACAATCATTTACACCAAACATGTGTACCTTTCTCCTTTGCACAGAATAAATGCTGCTCTGTGAACATAGCTGTGACATCTGTCAACACAGCGCTGATACTGTCCAGCTGTTGTACTAGCTATTAGGATCTAGATGATTTAAAGTGTATGGATGAACGTTTATCTACCGTGATATTGCATGCAAGCATACCAGGTCCCAGAATTTGGCAAATCATGGGGAAGGGGGAGTCGAGGAACCGAAACTCTACAGACTACCCAGGGACCACAGAGACCCCTTTCTGAACCAACCCCACAGGGAGGCAGAGCCAGTTCACTCACAGAGCCCCACAGCCCCACGCCAAGGCTTTGCCAACCCGCGAGCGACAAACCGACAGGACACCACAAAGGCGGCTCCTCCAGTGTCTGTCCCGCAGGCCCGGGGCGTGGCCACACGGCGGGAAGGCCGCCGCCGTGGCCTGG